ACTTCCAACTAATGACATTTTCTTTGGCTAGCCAAATGAATGTGTGCTGGCCAGGTACAAAATGGGGGGATTTGAAGACTCCTCCCTCTTCCTCTCCACTGTCTACTAAAGTCAGTAAGCAACATAGTATGAGGGTTCACTGAAAGTGAAGTGAAGGTGCAGTGACAAAGCCCTGTTCACACTGATACTTCCTAATTGCTTCCTTACTGGGATTTTAAACCCCTATCCTTGAGATTAAGCTCTGAGACTTTGTTTGTCATGGAAGAAGTGCACTGTCAATAAGATCTATGCACAAGACCAAATGGGATACTAGATTTTCCTTATTTCATGGAACAGAATTAAATTCACATTAATTTACTTCAAACAGTAGGGCACTAACTCATGGAACTTCAATCTATATTGTGTGGCATATGCTAACCAGCAACATCAATTCTATCACCCTGTTTCAATCTTGCTGGGCTTTGAAGTTTCTCATGCCTTCTTATGCTGACAAATCCTGATTACTGGGTTGTTGATCTATTATATTACCAATGAACATTATTTTCTTTGCTGAAGATACTACCCTGACTTGCCATCAACCATACAGCTATTTCACTATATTTAATGAAATATTTATGCAAGAATGTGCAAAATACGCATAAAACTTGAAATCATTGCACTTCGAACAATTAAATCGAAGAGCCAGTGCAGTATATTTATTTGTTTGTTAGATTTATTTGGCATCTCATTGAACAATTTCTATCTAGGTGTTATAAAAATACTACAAAGTCTTGTGACACTTTGAAGACTAAGAATTTTATTCTTGCATAAGCTTTCACAGAAGCTGTTTACTTAAACTGATGCACAGAATGTTAACCTCCAATGCATCTGATGAAGTGCCCCTGAAAACGTATGCCACAATAAATTTGTTACATGTGTTGCAGTGATGATATGTCTCGATATCCCATGTTTGTTATGATGCCCATGAAGTCATGAATTACGCTGGATCTGGTGGCCTCACGATGTGAAGTTCCACAGGATGATCATCAGGGGAGAAGGGGTTGCAACACCAAGTTTGAAATCACACAAATATATCAGACTGGCACTTGCTTGGACAGTTGAGAGAGAGAGAGAGAGAGAGAGAGAGAGAGAGAGAGAGAGAGAGAGGACCTCGAATCCTTAACAATTTTCAGCAACCATTCTTTGTAAAAACTCAAAGTAAATATTAGTATTCCCTTACATACAAAATGCCCCTTCAGTAAACCAGTTTAATGGTTCAAACTATCTCTAACATTGGTGCATCTCTCATCAATTTTACCAATGTGCTAGAGGATTTAAGTACTAAGAACTAATTATTGGGTGCAGCAGAAAAGGGTCTCTTTGTAGAACTCTGTTTTATAGTTGGTAGGGAATGTCTTAGGTTGAGAGATGCAATTTTTAATCGAAGCAAGACTCTTTACCGTTAACCATCAGTATAGGTCAGGGGAGATACAAATTCAGACCTCTGCTTGGGCATGAAACTCACCAGATGATCTTGGATCACTCACTGTTTCTCAGCTTAACCTATTACAACATAGTGATTGTAATGATAAAATAAATTGGAGAAAACTGTGTGGACTATTCTTGAATTGGTTGGTGGGTGCTATGTAAAGTAATCTATTGCCCAGGTTTTGGAAACAGCACTTGTGGTTGTCTCTTTTCTCCCCTATTCTGGGGATAGGGCTAATTTGTGACTAGTGCTCAATGGAAAAAAAAATGAGATAGGAAGGTAGTGACCTTAGAATTGGAACCAAAAGCTTTGCCTGCCTGCCTGCCTGCCTGTGTCCGTCCGTCCGTCCGTCCGTCCGTCCGTCCTTCCTTCCTTCCTTAACAATTATGTGGGTTAATTTACTAAGTATCCAGGAGACTTTTAAGACGGTGTTATCTTGGTGCATATTTCAAAACACTGACAGATATTTTATCAGTAATTAGTATTCATATTATGTCTCAAACAATCTGTTCAAGAATAGGGGAAATGAACTGGTTGAACAGCTCTTTCTATCTGATAATTAATGTTGGGGGGGCAGTGTATCCATGCAAAATTGAGGTCAAACAGGAAGTTATTTTTTCACGGAATAATGTAAATGACCTGCACAAGGGGTTCGCCTTGTCTACTGATTTAAGTTTGGAAGAAACCCTTCTTAAGAAATAAAATATCACCCCTCTGAATAATTCCTTTCTGGAGTTGTTGCTCATCTTGTCAAGATGCCACTTGATATCTGGCTGGACTCCCTTGTTCAATGGCACATATTTTTAAATAGCACTCGTCTCACCACCACCACCACCACAAAGACCATTTGTTCTTTTTAACAAAAATATTAATTGCACTCATTTTTCATCCAACTTTTTGGTTATATATAGCATGGCAAAACAATATTTTAGACATCTTAAACAATTTAAAAATATAGTTGATGAATTTCAGTTGATCTATTAGATTTTCGCTTCGCCTCCTCCCCCTCTTCAGCTGCTAATCATAGAATTTGATTGCCAAATAGCTTAGCATACTCTTCCAATAGTTACATGTGTGAGTCTTCTGTGCGATGCAGGCAGTTTTATAAGGACAGATTTGGAGTTGCATATGGGTTTGTCACATGATTTGATTGTCATGTCTTTGGGGTTTTTTAATGGCACATACAAAACGTTCTGCAAATAGTTTTTCCAAAAAAAATTATACTACATTAATTGTATTATGGTACTGCTCAAAGTGCTAATTATGACCTTTAAACCCCTCTGTCAAATTATGAAGACCATCCTTTGTAGGAAGGCATTTAACCTTTTCATTTGCTTCTGTTTTTTAGTAACTTGTTTCATTGATACTTTTATTCTACAACATTAAGATCAGTTGTATCTCCTTAATGCTGTCTTCAACATTTAAGGAGGCTATTTTGTTTGATTTTTAATTTGTTTGTATTTGCTTGTCATGTGGTTATATTTTTGTATTTTATGATTTTTAGTCATCTTGAACTGTCAGTGAAGGTGGAATATCAATTTTTTATTTAAATTTTGAGCCTTACATCATTTCTTCTTCTTTGCACCAGCATGTCACAAATACACTACATAACACTTTTCCCACCTACATTGTACTTCAGTGGTTGCCACTTGTGGTGTTGGGGAAATTGATAGCATTCTTACACAACTTATTTTCTAGATTTTGAGGAAAAAGAGGTGGGGGGGAAGAGGATTGTGGGTCTGTTTTTCATACACATAATACACACATACAGAATCATCCAAACATATATAAACGAAACTTGCATTCTGTAACCTTGGGTTTACATCTCTGGCTACAACTGATTCATGTTGACAAAAAAATGGAACAGAACCTTCACTATCCAGTTTGTCTCATGTTGTGTTTTGGAATGCTGCCTTCCCTTGTAAGTGGAACTTCATGGCCTTGAGCATTTGAGCTCTTGTAGAGGAAAGCAAAACCCTGTTTTGTCCTGTATTCTTGTCCTGTCTTATTTTCAAATTTAGCTGCAAAAATGGGCTCTGTGGGGTCAGCATACTGGATGGTGTGATGATACTTTAACTGTTTGGGGATACACTTTGATACTTCCCCTTTGAGGGAATTATGTAGTAATATCCGATTTCCAGATGTTTGGAGTAACCCAAGTTACCTTGGGCCACCCTTATGCCAAATTAAATCTTCTTTATTATAATTTTTGATGTGGAAGTATCCTGATCACTTTGAGACACATTTTGCACCCTCTGTTTTAGGGACATAAATAACTTTTTTCTTAATGTGATGATGCCTTAGACTTCGTGTGTAGCAAAGCTAATTTTTCTGAGTCATGTAGGAGTATTCTGATAGTCACAGATCCCATATGATGTATTATAGAACTTTCACTTGAGAGCCTAACTTTTAGCTGATGTTCTGTTGTTTTGTCTAGTGCATTTTGTGCTGTGATGATTGCCTCTGTGATATTAGCATTGCTTTTGTGATATGGCTGTCAACCATCCTGAGATGTTTACCAAGATGTAAAAATGCTTGTGTCAAGCGTTTCAGTTTCTTGCAATAATTCTGCAGATTGGAGCATGTAAGAGTCTAACACATGGCTTGGATGCAGATATTAGAAAGTTGCTTATTTATTTCTAATATGCATATTCTGCAAAGGTGGCTTACAAATAAGCAACAATTAAATTATTACAAAGTTTACAAAAAGGAACAGACATACCCTAGATAGATAGATAGATAGATAGATAGGTAGGTAGGTAGATAGGTAGATAGGTAGATAGGTAGATAGGTAGGATGGGGGATAAAATGCCTGATGAAATAAGAAAGCAACACTGAAGCCAGTTCTGCTTCTATTGCAAAGCTATTGTAAACCCTGTCCAGAATGTAAATGAAGTTCTCAAGCAGACTCATTTGGAGAAAGATGATTCTTGAGATATTTTAGTGAAAGCCTATTTAGGGTATTATGGTCAAACCCCAGCATCTTGAATCAGTCTGGTAACCAGTGATGGCAATATTTTACAAATATTTGTGAGATTATCTTCGTTGTAGCTTGGCGGGAGATTACTATCTTGGGGCCAAATATGAGGATAAGGATGAGTCTGGCATGTCTGCTTTATATTAATTGTCACTAATAAGCCAGTTAACAGCCCCAGCCCGTTTTTTTACTGTTTACTTACTTGTGCATTCCCAGCTATCAGGTTGAAAACAAATTTAGTTGGAATGTGATACAACATTGATACTCTGGAAATAATTCTGACATTGTGAGAGGATGAGTTTCATACGAGAATGTCTTGTGGGCTTATCTATTCGATTCATTGTGGGACATCCATGAATTAAAGTTCAGGTTAAACTTATTAAACCGCTCTACTTTTTATAATGCAACTGGATCCCTGTCAGGAATTACCTTTATACCACTATACCTGCTCCTGTTGTACCAAAGTTGAAGATAATTGTGTAATAGACTCATAGAACAAATGTAGAAAGACAATGTCACCATTTTTTTATGCTTTCCATGCTTATTATCTTATAGGTTGGAGATATTCTCTACTGTGCTGGACAGATTGCATTAGTGCCCTGCACTATGCAGCTTATAAGCGGTGGCGTGGAAACCGAAGCTTTGATTTCTTTAAGACATGTTGAAAAAGTCCTAAAAGCCATGCACGCTGAACTCCAACATGTACTTATGGCAAACTGTTATGTAACTGACAGCAAGTACATCTCTGTCGCTCAAGCTGTATGGAAGACGAAATTAAGAGAACTTAAAAGGGTATGTGTAATACCAATTTTCTTTTTCCTGCTTTGAAAATAACAGTTTATGAAATGGTTTTTTTCCCCTTACACAAAGTAATATCAGAATATTCCCCATGCCTTTTGCTAGGGTTCAAGTAAAGACTGATATAATAAGATTTGATTGAGCTGTTATGTTCTGACTCATAAGTGGCTGTGCACAATTGAAACAGAAAATTGCCTAATAGAAAGTTATATTCATCACCAAGTTTATCTTAATTCCCCAAAGCAATAAGTTAAAGAAGTTTGTAAGAGCAACCAATTCTGTCTGGAAAATTTTGAAGAGCATTTAGTGTTTGAAATAAAGTGTCCATATACTTTTCTTCAGGAGGGCAGATTGGTTTCTCAATGCACTTTATGAACTCTTGCACTTCTTTACAAAGATGGTCTGTGAAGTTTGGCTTTTACTGAGTAAATTTCACGTCACACTAAGTTGTATAGTAGCAAATGTTAATATTAAATATACTAGGTGTGTAACGTATTACAGTTTAATATAATGGGCAGCATTCAGTGGGATCCTCCCAATGATTTTGTTCATTACATTTACAATTGTTACATTGTGCTGCACCTGTAGGACCAACACCTTTCACAAAGGGGTGTTAGCAGTTCTAAAAGTAACTGAACTAACAAGCAGATATGCCTACTTCTGGATCAGAACAGGTCAGCAGCTTTCCTATCTGCATATTCTGCGTATCTGGCCAGGTCTGGTACTGAATATTTCCACACATTTTAAGGTTGCTTTTAGAACTACTCACTCCCCATTACACTACTCATGTGGTTCTGCTGGCACATGGACACAACAGGATACCATCTTGTGATATTCATAACAGCCAACCTTGATTTGGATTAAGTATAGAGAGTTACACAAGCAAAGCACCATTTGCACAACTAAGCTTTCTCTTTCTCTCCTTTGCTCAGGTTTTCCTGTGCCCCCATCCAAAAAGGCATATCTGGAGGGCCAGAGCCCTCCTCAAAAGCTTTCCTCATGTCATGCAGTGGAAGGGAGGAATTTCCCCAAACTTGCCAGAGGAACTGTGTGCAACTCAAGCTCTGGTCATGCAAAATGCTTCCACCACATTTTGGGCAATTCCCCTTTCTAACCAGAGCCCACCTAACCCTGGTATTAACAACATGGTTCAGGAGGCCCTCCCCTCCATTTATCAATTTATAAAAGCTTTTATATATCATTTGCTTAACCAGAGGCTCTCCAAATGGTTTACAACAATAAAAGAATCAACTAAAAATATAGATCAACTTAATAAAACTTCCATCCCTCTGAAGTCTTACAAGCTCCAGGTATCCCACCTCTGTTATTGTTGTGAGATCTATTACCATGGTTTCTTAAGATGGGAGAGGAAACAAGTGCAACAAAGTAAACAATTCCTTTTCTTTCCTCCAGAATTTTTATATGACTTATCCTTGAAAACTAATTGACATTCTGTACTGCTTTTCCCCCAAATTCAGCTCCTTTCCCCCATACTTCTGTCCTGAGCTTTGTCAAAATCTTTTAAGTGTAACCTACTTTGAGGATCTGACCAGCTTAAAACCAGACTTTAAAAAATTAAATAAATACATTGAACCCATGACTGGAATGAACCTACACTGCTATTAAATACCTACATTGGAATACTAAGTATTGTTTGAATTCACCAAGCCATAAAGTTGAAAGTGTCATTGAGTTCAAAGTCCTGCTGTGACACCATCCTCTATGTATCTAAAAATGGATATTGTAACATTAGAAAAGGGCAACTAAAATGAGATTAGCCCATTCTTTCACATAAAGTTTTTAATTTTCTGTGCTCACATGAGTATAGCCAAAGATGCACCACCCAGATATAACTGGGAATTATCAGGGTACTTGTAGTAACCCTGAGGTTTGCAGGAATAGGGAAGTAGATACTCCACTTGTCTGTGTGGAGTGTGATACAGAGAAGAACCTTAAGGGGGGAAATCTAAATGGCTGTTGGGACACAACTCTCAAAACCAGGTTAGTGGTACAAAATGATGAAAGCCTGAAGGTGGTGGGGAACCTGACAAGAGATGGAAATGGAATGGAGTGGCTGGATAAGCAGGAGGAGGAAAGAAGAGAGATAAAATACTTTGAAAATCCTTTCATTACCTGGATAGGTAATATCCTTTTTTTATAAGAGCAGCTATTTTAAAATTTCCCCAGAGGGAGTTTTAATATGAGAGGCCACAGAAATACATAGATAAATCTAATATTGAAATCCATCTAAGTGTGTGTGGATAACTCATCAAAAATCACAAATAGAAAGTAAAATCAGAGACTGGCCTAATGAACACTGAGTATGCTCAATGAACCCAAAACACTGAAAGGTGACTGCCTATTGGAGTTACAAAGTGAAGAAAACCAGGGGAGAAGGGGCGTGTGGTGGTACGGATGCTCAACAGAAGCACAAGACACTCAACAGAAGCACAAGACATTTTGTTGCAAAGACTCAGTTGTGATTTCTTTTTACCTATTCTTAATATTTTAATATTTCAGTGCTAGAGGGGCCATCCTTAAGTGGTAGAGCCCACAGTTTGCACGTAGAAGGTCCTGCAGCATCACCAGGTATTGCAGGAAAAGAATCTGTCATGCCTGAAATCCTGCAGGGCCCTGCCCATCAGGCACAACAATATTGGATGGATGAACCATTGGTTAAAGTATAAGGTGGATGTCTATGTTCAGACTGTTTGGTGGCCAGTCTGCATTCCCAGAGCAGTTGGCAAGACCACATGGTTCTGGCAGCTGACAAAAACTATAAGGCTATTTTGGTTTTGGTTTTTCTAATGATAAGGTAGCTTTATTCCTTTAGTTTCTTTGATGCACTTTGTAATCAGTTAAAACTTAGCCAGTCTTCCAATATTTATGCATGTGAAGAAAAGGCCATTAAATCGTTAAAGTTTTGAAAAAATAAATTGAGCATTGGATTTTGTTATTCCAAGAGAAGTCACTCATTGAAGCACTTAGCATGGATGCATTTGCTACCTAAATCGGGTTTGACAATCTATTTATATGAGGTGGCCTGTGAACAAGGGATTTTCTTGTCATGATTTTTTACAGCAATTATAATCCTGGAAGCATTTATTTTCAGGATTGCCACATTAACAGAGCATCAATGAATTTGTCTAAAAATGTAAAAAGCCAGTCATCTTTACTAGAGATGGGGAAGCACATAGAACCTTATCTGAGTCAGACTGGGCCCATTTGAATCAGGCTCATTCTACAATGACAAAGCCTCTTAGATCCTTAGGTTGTCATTGAGTGATGTATGGAATAATGCTATGAGTGCCAATTCTGGGTGCTAGTCCTCATTATACCTGAAACTCATTGGGAGATTTTGGGCCAGTCTCAGGCTAACCTAGTTTCTTTTGTCCTGTTAACAAAATTGTGATGAAGATAACCTTTTATGCTGCCTTGGACTGCTTGAAAGAGGAAGAAAGGTAGGGGAAAATGTAACATAATAAAATAACAATAAATAGGGACTGAGGCACTGCCTAGAGCCCTCACTGTAGCTAGAACCCTTTTCTATAACAATGTTTCCCTAAATTATCAAGGAATTTTTCAATATTCTCCCTTCTATCTGAAACTGCCCCTTTTCCTCTGTAGCCCACAGTAAGTATGCCAGATGACAAGATGCTCGGAAATGTGGGAAACAAATAGAACCTGCCTTACATAAAGAGGAGCATTCCTGTTGCATGGACTGGTCTTCTGCCCTTAAGAAGCTGTTCACATTCATAAACAGAAACAAAATTGGTTTCATACAACAGGACAACCCACAGTGGGTTGTGATGTCATGTAAGCCCAGGCCATTTGCCACAAGGTACCTATTTATTTATTTATTTATTTATTCAATTTATAGCCTGCCTTTTTCCTACAAAGGCTCAAGGCAGCTTACATCATTCTCCTCCTCCATCTTATCCCCACAACAACAACCCTGTGAGGTAGGTTGGGCTGAGAGTCTGTGATTGGCCCAAAGTCACCCAGTTGGTTCCATGGCTGAGCGGGGACTAGAACCCCGATCACCTGAGTCCCAGTCCCATGCTCTTAACCACTGCACCACACTGGCTCTCTCTTTTTTTTGTGTGTGTAACAAGCTACCCCTGGCAATCCATGGCTTGCTGTAGGATGCCCAGGATAGATTAATTGTTGTGTCATGTAAACCTCTCATAGAAACTGAGTGTCATTGTAGGTACTAGGAAGCAGCTAATGAGCGGCTTGGCAAGAGTGGCAAAACCCTCTTGCTGCTCTTGTCAAGCTTGCCTAATGTCCGAGCAGCATGGTGGAACCTCTGTCACTGGATATCAGTGTCCATACTGCAATCCCTACTGTTTGCTGTGGCTTTTTTTTTCATTCCCAGCTCCCCTTCTTTTCAGTTATCATCTCTCATGATCTCTGAATCGCTCACCAATGACAGACTCCTTTAAACAGGGCACTAAAGTGGTTGTCACTGATTCACCAGCTTGTTGTGTGTGTGTTTGTGTGTATGTATGTTTGCTGCCCTAAATGTGTGCAAGTATTTTCATGCTTTAAAAAAAGGAATTCTAATAAATAACCATCCTTGTTCATTTGTAGCATTTTCTTTTTCAGTTCCTTTATTAATTTACTTACTTTTAATTATATCTTCTCTTCTTAAATGACAGGAACCCTGGTCTGAAAATGTATCTACTTGAAAGACAGTATCATTTAGTTTCATGGACCTTCTAAATAACTGGGCTTTGGAAATAGCATAAACAAAGTAGTGTTTCTGGTACTTTCCCTGGATTTTTATTTTTTGGGGGGCGGAGGACCCCCTCCCCAACAAACCCTTTTGTTTTACCTTCTTTCAGGCTTGGTTACCTACAGTGAGTTGAACGTGAACTAGTTCTAGTTTAATGCCGCATTAAACTTTCGCACAGTACAGAGTGCCAGCTACTGACCCAGGAACATACATGCCAGCTCAGCAGTGAATAATCAGTTTAACTTCTCTGTGTTTT